TGTGTGGAAAAAAAATGATGCATGCATCTTTCTATTTTTCCATATGCTCCCCTCAAAGAATAAATAAATTGGGCTCCCCAGTCCTAGAGCCTTGAAAATCTTCCCCCAGGTCCCAAAGCTCTTCGATTACAACCCACCACTGCCAAAATTTACCTGCATTTGACGGGTTGGCTGGTGCCAATGACAAAGCCTTGCTCACAATAATGATCAACTGATTCAACAAGGATACAGTGAATAGGATTATGGGACACTTGATTTCTACAAATCTCTACAATTTCTCAGATTGTCAAATTATCACTTCAACACCATTCTTCGGAACTCACAATGTCTTATTACTAGTGACCTCATTTTGGAAACGGGCCGGCAGGCTACTCATGTGGTCGTTCGGGAAAACCTGATGCCCATTGACGACAGGTTGGTCAGCCTTGCGAAATTGCTCATAAATTTGAGTATGAATGGTTGTTTATCTGTCTCCGATTTCAAATGGGTTGTAATGAATTCCCCCCGCAAAGAAAATTAGGACAACACAGTCCTCTAACATTGTACTCCCTGAATCACGAACTGGCACAAATGCAAAGAGGAGATGCCGTGATTGTTTTTTTTTTTCCCTTTTTTTTGTCCAACATTTTGAAAAATATGGTAATGCCATGATTTTGTTTTTCCTTTTTCTTTCCAACATTTTGAAAAAGATGAGAAATTCAGTGTGCGTGCGTGATTTCGAGTGGAAATGACTCCAGGGTAAAGAATAACAGGTCCTTTCACTTGGTTCTCGCAGCAAAAAAAAGATGATGAATTCCACACGCAATAGTTATCATCCAGCCTCACGGGGTGGAACAGTTTACTCTCCAAATGAAAAATGGAACAACCTCTGCTCGAAATTCTGCCACAGGTCATACCGTAGGTAGCACTTCAAAAACCAAAACGGACAGAGGATATCATTATGCAATAGCAAGATGCGCCTCTGATCTACACCAATTAGCTTCTTGAGGCAGAAAAGAGCGGCTCACGTGTTATAGTGTGTTACAGACGAGAGTCCTCACTCGGTGCAACATCCAACGCGCTATTTGTAAACTTCCTTTTATTTTCCAATAGTACACAGTGCACCGAGAACACACACACACACACACACACGGGGCAGATTGGCCCACCAGTGAGAATGGTGTGTTGGTTGGAGATAAGATTTTCTGAAGTCCTGATTCCTGTGATTCCTAAGCCAAATTGGCTTCCACTTGGGAGCGCCTTGAAGCCCATATCATCCTGTGGAAAGCTAAAGACTGGATGGCCAGTATAGGACATTTCACAATGACTGTGCCGTCTACAAGTAGACTAGCCATTATATTTTGCGTAATTACTCAGAGACAACCCAACCAATATATTTCATCCAAATCTGTGAGAAAATGTCTTCCACAAACTGGGTGATGGCGGTTTGGTTCCCAGTCTGTCCCTCAAGAAGTGGTTACTGCTCTCACACACAGACTTGCGATCTTCTCTGTTCATGCCTCTCTTTTTTTTTTTTTTTTGTAACACGGGAGTTTAAAATGCTTTTTCCATGGTTGTGTTGTGATTGATATTTCATGGGAATACAGTTGGACAGACACGTTTTAGAGGGGACAGACAGGGCGGAAAGAGAAATAGAATTTTTTTAAAAACTGTTGCACAATATTTGGCAGGGCAACCTCAAACACATGACATTTTCGACATCGTTTTCATTTCAGGTCAGTGGTAGTCAGTAACATCTCTGCCCTCCCCAAAAGAATCCATCCATCCATCCATCCATTACCTGATCCGCTTCTCCTCACAAGGGTCGCGGGCGTGCTGCAGCCGATCCCAGCTGTCTTCGGACAGTGGGCGTAGTAGACCTTGAACTGGATGCCAGCCAATCACAGCCAAAATCATCTTAGAGCCTATATTGTTCACAAATATCATGGGGTGGTCTATACATCTAGCCATCCATCCATTATCAAAAACACCGGTAACCTGAACAGGGTCATGGGGAGTTTGATTTGATTTGATTTGACTTTTTATTAGGTCTCCCATAGGAGAACCTTGTCTCGGAGGACAGGCCCTCAGTTGCTGGAGCCTATAGCAGCTGACTTCGGGCGGAAGGCAGATTACACCCTGAACTGGTCGCCAATCAGTCGCAGGGTACATATAGAGACAAACAAACATTCACACCCACATTCACACCACCACTGAGTAGGAACCGATCCCACGCTGCCCACACACAAGTTCGGCATGTGTCCCACTATACTCTCAGCAACTCTGGGCTCTATATTTTTTTTTTTTCCAAAATGCAAGACTCTCATCCACTCATCAATTCTCTGATCTGCTTATTGTTGTTAACCTTACCCAATCCCAGCTGTCTTTGCATGAAAGTCTGGGTACACACCCTGACCTGTTTGCCAGCAATCGCAGGGCACAAATAGGCAAACACTCAGCCACACTCACACTGACACGTCAGACAATTCCGAGTGCTAACCAGTCGGCTTGTTCTCATTTCAAAACTTAGAAAATATGTCAATTAAAACTGTCGCCATCATAAAAATGAAATTAACTCTACAGGCAATGTATTGAGTATGATCGCTGTATAATTGTTTGCATTGTCCACATTGCACTGAGCAGTCTTTCAAATGCTGCAGTAAATTACATTTCCGTTGATAGTTATGATAACAGTTTTCTTTCACATCACTGACACCATACCTGAGTGGAATGACAAAAAAAAACCACTACCCCTGCCCCACAGAAAAGCAGGAACAGGCACAGAATGTGTCTTTTAGATTCTCACTGAAATCTCATGTGCCACATGATGATGGTTTTAACACCACATTCGATTGGAATTTTAAGGCATTTAAGTGGTTAATGAGGAAAATATTTATTAGAGGTTCCACCGGATCCATTTTCACCATACAACAAGCCGACCACGCAAACAAACCATCAGCACAATATGTCTTGTCAGTGATCCTCAAATTTTATTATGGGTGCCATGTCATCGTACGCAAAAGATTCACTGTGCATAATATTCCAGTGACTTCAATTTGCTTTTAAAATCCAGTACAATACATTTGATGTACAGTAATGCATTTCTGTTGCATTTAAGTTTGAAATTAGTCATTTATGAAAAATATTTTTTCATTTTATTTTATATCATTTACATTTATAGGAGTAGTTTTTTCATCTAACTTTGGTATGCAATACACTTTATTTGAATTGTCATTTTATGCTAATATTAACATGTAACACGTTAATACTGTATTCAAACCATGCATGGTATTACAGTGGCTAGTTTTAGTTTTTTGTTTGTTCGTTTTGTTTTGTTTTTATGAACACGTGGGCCTACTATGTGACTGTACTTCATTATCGGTCATCATAGAGGTACTTCGAGAGCCAAGTATTTTTTGGGGTGGTACGTGTTGTAAAAGGTATGAGAACCACCGTCCTAAATAAAACATATTGGCACTTAGCGAGTACCGACAGGCCCTTTGCACTGTATCCCATGTTCGTCATTGTTTTCATGTTTCTTGTGCAGAGCGTGTCTGTTAAGTGAAATCTTGTTGCACAAACGTGTAATGACAATAAAGGCAATTCATTCATTCATTCATTGTGTTTCAAGGAGGGAACAACAATATTACCCTGAGTTGCTATGACGCTTTTTTTTTTTTAAATGAACTACTGCATATGGAATAATCTTTTTTTAAATACATGAGTAAAATATCAACTTATTCATCTTGGGTTTAGAAGCTTCTCAATTATTCATTCCGCATTAATTACGCAATCTGCTGGCAATGTATTGAACCCACCGAACACCATAAAATATTAAACTAAATTGTGTAACATAGGCCTGTGTTGGCAGAAGAGTCCCCTCAGACAACTAAACTACATTTCAATTCCCTTTAAAACATCTTGATTTTATATGGTGGGTTACCTTGATTAGATTCACATTTCGCTACATCATTCAGACATTTTGAAACATATATTTACAGACAGAGGTGGACTGTAGAAATGACATTGTAGAAATGACATTGTAGTTTCTGCCACGTAATTTTCTTGGATGAGATCCAAATGGTTCATTCACAAAACCAGTAATACCACTTTCTCAACCGCCAGTCTTCTTGCAAGTAAATCAGTGTATTCAACTAAACAGACAAGATTTTACAATAGTCAAGTACATTTTTGAGTATTATTTTAGTTTTCATATTTTTTAAATATTTTGGTCTGATGGTTGTGTGCAAATTGGGTGCCTTGGATCAATGAAGTTTGGGAAACAATGGCCTAAAAGGCCTTGGGAAATTTACCACCCCTGTACTGGCTTTAACAAATACTGTACATCAAAACACTGCAGATTTTGCTCGGATTTAATTGACTGGATGGATCTCCAAATATTTTGCATTTCATCCAAAATCAGCTTTCAGTTGTAACTTCATAATTTGCCCATCAATCTATATTTATATACAATACATTATACTCACTCTCCTAACTCGTGACTTGTGTGCGGGCAGCATGTGATCTGTTTCCACTCAGTGATGGTGTGGATGTTAGAGTGGATGGTTGGTCGTCTCTATATGTGTCCTGCGGCTGACTGGCGACCAGTTCCGGGTCAATATATGTAGAGACAAATAACCATTCACATTCAAATCTACACCGTCACTGAGTGAGAACCGATTCCACGATGCCCGCACCAAAGTCAGGCGGGTGTACCACTATACCACTACACTATAAGCGACTGTGTGTGTGTGTGTGTGTGTGTGTGTGTGTGTGTGTGTGTGTGTGTTTACATTGATCTGTGAAATACATTTTATATATTTATTTTTGACACCATTTATGAAAATATACAAATCATAAGACTCGAAACAAGAGGATTTACTTTTTTTTTTGAAAGGTTAGGTTTTTTCCACGCATTCGACACCACTCGGACTACCCTGCCCAATGAAAAAGACCTGAGGAAACTGCGGCTATGCCGGCTTGTCGCGTCGCCATGTTGGCTCTAACTGTTTCAGTCGCCCTCAAGGAACTCTGGGAATCCTCCCTGCGCCAACATGGAAGACGGCGGGGAGCAGTTTCACAACCACTTTTGTGGTGGGCGGAGCTTGGCTTTTTAGATCGCTCAGTAGAGCTGAACGGAAGACATTGATCAGGAGAAGAAAAAACGAAACCATAGAAGTGGAAGTGGAGTGAAGTAAAGCCCGACGTGACGAGACCCTTTTGGAATTTTCCCCTACAATTCAAGATTCACAAAAGAGGAGAAGCGACGGTGTGCAGCCACGTCCCGGCGGGCACGAAGGTTGTCAATCGGCGGCTTCTCGGGATGTGAAGCTCAGCGTAAACCCACCTGGACGCATATTAAAGTGGACGTGAGCAGCACGCTGGACTGACTGTAAGGCTGAGGCGAGAATCGTTTGCTTTCTCACACCGGAGTGTGCCATCGGGAAAACTGGGAAAGGCGGGGTCGGACTAGTGGTGGTCTCCCACACCGGGATTACCGAGCTCCCCCTGCGCCGCTTCGTACCCAACGACGCAGCGGAATTATAGAGGGGGAGCCGGGGGTGGTCAGGGAGCTTTCACGGACGTTATCTACCGACGACACCGCCGCCGTCGGGCGCGGACGACGTTTGTCCGTCATTCCTGTCAACGGTCACCTGGTCGTGGCCCTTTTCTCTCCGTGTTTGGAGTCTAACCCAGTATTACTTGGGATTTGCACCTTCCCGGTGAAACTGGGACTATGGCGGACGACGACATTCTCTTCGAAGATGTGTACGAGCTCTGCGAAGTGATCGGGAAGTAAGTGTTTGCATTGCCGCTGTTATTCCCGCATTTCGCTCTGCGAGGTGATCGGGAAGTGTTTGCATTGCCGCTGTTATTCCCGCATTTCGCCTTTCCAATTAGCGAGCGCGCCCATACAGCGCTCATATTGTAATGTGCACGCTTTAAATGTGGCGTCATTGTGGCTGAATCAATAGAAGCCTCCCTGGTGTGTATGATCCCTTAATCCCTCCCTTGTCGACCTCCGAACTCGCTTGTAAGAGTGCAGTGCATTTATGAGACACATACACACCAACAAGAAATGTCATGGAAAACAGTTGTTGCATTCCCACTTTTATTGCCAACGCGTGTTTAGGACCTATTACGTTTGCACCAGTGCACAACGTGATTCTAGTTGGTAACTTTCTACACTGATGAAAGCACGCGCGTCCACACACAGACAGACACACGGATACATATGAACGCGCGCGCGCGCGCACACACGCACACACACCGCACACATCTGGTCATGTTTAGGGAGTGACGGTTCAGGTTCATCTCTGTCTGCTCCTTGGAATAACATTCATCCCGAATGTGTGCACTTTACCATGAGATCAGCCGAACATTAACACTGCAACTGACTCAAGATACACGACATATTCTACGTAGACGTTCACAGAATGGAGGGAACGAAAGTCAAGACGTTGCAGTTTTTCCGTCTTGTGAGGTGGCATCGCAGCTGTACGGAGGCAGGATGGCGCCTGTATGTAAGGGAATGCTGGAAAGGCGGGACAGAAGTGTGAAGTTTCACTTCTCCAGCCCTGGTGTGTTGACACCAAAGACAGCTATCGAAGGCTTGATTTGCACAGTCGGTTGAATTCCAATTTTAATGCCTACAGCAGGGTTTTCCAACCTTGAGCAAAAACATGTTTCACTTCAGAAAAGATCTCACAACACACCACAAAAGTGTCATAAAAAGTGGACACTCAAGATGAAGAAATGATTTCATTCTGCCCAACGCTGGTCTGCATAGATCAACAACGATGCATTATTTGTCGTAAATAAATCATTTTCGGAGTAAAGTGTTAGGATGCACTGGCCTCTAATTTTTTGAGACTCTCTCTTTCCCAGTACATTTCAAATAACACATCAGATATGACTGCGTTTACATTCACAGAACAGATGACACAACCCACATGTGTAGATGTCCACATTTCACATAAGAGATGACACAAGGGTCTAGACCAGTGGTTCTTAACCTTGTTAGAGGTACCGAACCCAACCAGTTCATATGCACGTTCACCGAACCCTTCATTCGTGAAAAATAAAAATGTAATTTTTTTTTTTTTTACAAATTCAAGACATTAAAAAACACATTTATTAAAAACAAAAAAGTAAATAAAATTACATGGCCTAAGTTATATTTTTTAAAATTGTATGATGTACTATCATGACAGTCACACGTTGACTACTAAGCGAACTAAATTTCCCACAGCACTGATTGGACAAGCAATGTAATGTGATCATCTGCAGCCAGTGATGGCCAAGCGGGCGTGTCATAACTAATTGACATCTTGAGATTAGGTTTAAGGAACAAAAAAAAGAAACGTGGCCAGCAACATTGTGGCCAAGAGACGAGCGGTCAGCAATCTGGAATTACAGCTTGCGATCAGAACTCAGACTCAGTTCCTACCACCTAAAAAAAAAAAATCTGGCCAAACAAAATCCTGAAAACACCAGGAAACCAAAGGGTGTATCCATGGCAGAGGCTCCGTCAAACCCCTGAGATCGATTCACCGAACCCCTAGGCTTCGATCGAACCCAGGTTAAGAACCACTGGTCAAGACAGAGCAGTGACAAAACCGAGGTAATCATCCATCAATCCACTTATTTATTGTGTTCAATGGGGATCTATAGCTATCCAACTGAGTTTAGGTGAATGGCAGACTACACCCAAGACTGATCACAAGGCACATATGGAGGCAGACCACCATTTACACTCATTCGCAATATCACTGAGTGGGAACTGAACCCATGCTACCTGCACCAAAGTCAGGCTAGTATACCACGACACCATCAGGGAATCCACTGAAGTCCGTCCGTCCATCCGTCCATCCATCCATCCATCATCCATCCATCCATCCATTTTATGATCCGCTTATCCTCACAAGGGTCGCGGTGTGCGCTGGCGCCTATCCCAGCCGTCAATCGCAGGGCACACACAGACAAACAACCATCCGCACTCACAGTCACACCTAGGGACAATTTAGAGTGTTCCATTAACCTGCCATGTATGTTTTTGGAATGTGGGAGGAAACCGGAGTGCTTGGAAAAATCCCACGCAGGCATGGGGAGAACATGCAAACTCCATACAGGAAGGTCAGAGCCGGAATCGAACCCTGCACCTCTGCACTGTGAGGCCGACACACACTAATCAGTTGAACCCCCCGTCCCTGCCCTCGCTTTGAGTCAACAATAATAAATATGTTAAGATGTCAACTACTGTTTAGTTGGCCAAGGCTGAGTCTTTCCTGTCGATTTCAAGGACCGTAACCTCGACATGACTCCGTTATTTTGCTTATTTAATGATGGACATGCCTCCAGTGTAACATATTCAGACCATATTTAATTGACTTCGCCAGGACTGTGAAATGGGTTTTTGCATCAGCCCACATTGCAGTAATGGTTTCTCTCAGAGGGCTCTGATGTCTCTCAGAGGGCTGTGATGACTGTAGAAAAAAAAATGTCTAATGTATGTCATATTATTATGCACATTTTATTATCATATATATTCCTACAAATTAAATTTTAAGTCATAAGTACAATGGATCCCTGCAAACTGATTTGGATAACCGTGAAATCACGAATGCGTGCGTGTGTGTGTGTGTGTGTGTGTGTGTGTGTGTGTGTGTGTGTATATATATATATATATATATATATACACACACACACATACCGAAGTTAACAAAACAAAATACGGTAATACAACAAAACACAACATAAGACATGGACAGTCACGCAATCATAAACATATACCAAAATATGCCTTGTTGTTTGAAGCAGTTTTACAGATGAAAGAGGTGAAAATCAAAGTGTTCTTTCGCCAGCGGATCAGAGACGTCACACTCAAAATGCATACATGTCTGCTATACTTTGAAAGTAAACAAGAAGCTGTAGCGACCATTGACGAAAAAAGAGATAGGTTCACTTCTCCTGTCCCTTATAAATCCACTTAAATGCCAAGCGCCGACTCTCACTTCCAAATACGCATCCGCGCTCTATGCGCACGCTCCTCTCTCCTCGTCCTCAGCTCCAGCAGCCATGCATCCAGCCGCACCAACGCAGAATGTACAACAGCGTCGACATCTCCGCTGAACAAAACGGGGATGTGAAAAATGCTGTCCATTACAGCTGTCTTTGGACAGTTGTACAGCAAACGTACGACAAATGTAGAATAAAATAAAATAACACAGTGAACTACCGAGAAATGGACCAATTGGGAATAATAAATACGCCTTATAATATAAACATAATGTTTAAGTGATGATCGTACATACGGCATTAGCATCATTGCTACATGCAAATGGAACTGATCAAAAGATGACACGATTGATTGCTACTTTCACCCGGTGGCTGCCGGATAGTAATTAGCGACTAAACTGCTCATATTTACTGTACGTAAGCAAGCTGTGCAAACTCTGCTGCATTTTTCATGCTTTCCACTGTATCACTCGGGTGCTACTTGTTCAAATTATTCAATGAGTTTCTTGTATTGCCTTGTTTTTGACGACATACGGTGCGCTACAGCTTCCTCCTCCAAGTCTCTCTGGAGATCCCGCTAGGGGAGGAACTTCTCTTGTCAAAATACCTTCATCTTCGGAAGTCATGGCTGCCCATCAGCTGTGAGTGTAAAGCTGTACATTTTGTAACTATTACTTTCTGTTTACTGCTTCTTCTTTCGTTTATTGGCGGATTCTGTTTATTTCATCTCCACTGCTGCAATGTTTTTAGAATTGCGCATGCAATTAACCTGAAACATTTCCTTGCTGCTGTGCTGATGCCACGGGGATGACTAATAACCCAAACTGGTTATAAACGGCTGTGTTTAGTTTTTGACGGCCCATCCTCTCCAGGCATTTATTCTCTTTCACATCCGTTGCGCTCACCCTTTTTGTTTTGCAAAATAAGCTTCAGTACCTGCGTTACACCGGGGGAAGTAGCAGCTGATAACACAGCGTTTCATGAGTCAGCCGAGGAATGAAAGACTCGTCGAGGGAGACGCTTGCTTTGTATTTGTACACAACAGAGGCGCTTGAATGAGCGCAAGAACAGAGTCTGTTCCTGCTTCGAGCGACACACGAATAAGCGAACGTCATTGCGAATGATGCCCTGCTTTGGGTGTGCACAAAGCTAACAGTCAGTCAGTTAAAGCCTGGGTGACTGCTTGCGGGTCTTCTTGAGATGCTTGCCAGGGTGATAAGACCTGCGCTGCATGTTTTGACAAGCCTGAAAATTATGTCTTAAACACACACCAGTGGCGAGCAAAAAAGATCTCAGAAACACCTTTTGTGGAGGACGTTTTGGATGTGTGCGCCACCAGAGCTCACATGGGCCAGCCGAAACACTCAAATATGAGCCCAGGTGCACAAACACACATTCAAGTTCTCTTGGTAATTTAAGTGAATTATAGCCTCTAATAAGGCTGCTCAATAATGAAAAAAAAATTAATGAAAGTAATATTTGACATCACGAGTATTCAAACATTTATGTAACAGTCATTTACGGTATTCTTGTTACAAAACAAAAAAAAAATGTCTTAACATAAAAAATATGAAAACTAATCAAATTCTTTGAAACACTATAATTATGTTCCTATAGGACCCAGCAAAATGTATACAATTAGTTATTTTAAAATTAAAATGGTGAAGATATATACATTCAAATGTGGGTTCCTTGTAAAACAAACAATACATTTGCACTTACAATACAGGTACACATATTAATTGCCACAGCACTGTTTTGTAACATTCATCCATCCA